TGGTCAATTAGTTGTCACGCGGACAATTAATTGCTCCCGAGACGTATCTCACTCAAGCTCAACACTGTTCTCCTATAACAGCTCTCACTCACTCAACAATAGTGTGCACCTCTTATCCAGTTAATTACCCCTTTGATTAACTCACTGAATCCTTAAGTCCTCAACACAACTTAAAGAACAAAGTAACCCCAGTGTTACATAGGTCACACTACAATGGCATGCAACATAAATGCACTGCCCACATACGGTTGCGGCTACTGCAACTCGTTAATTACTGTGCCCACACAGTAATGACACACGGTTGTGCAACAACAAGAGTATACCAATATTACTGCCCCCCTTATCTTGCAACCGTTGCAAAGGACTACTTCAGCAAGACAATTTACGTTAATATAAAGCACCGTCACTACGTGGACAGCTGGCACTAATTCTCTTAATTAGGCAATTAACAAATCAATTGCTTGCCCTCATTAAGTACTGTGAATTCCCCTGAATAATCAAAGAGGCCCCTCGAAGCCTCAACACAGTTCCTAGGGCAGTAATATTGTATACCTGATAACAACACTGCACAAACCTTTTTTTTTTGGTGGCAGGCTGCCACCCCACCAAATCACTTCTTCCCCAGCTTGTCGCCCAGCTCAGACTGACGATTTGGCGGCTAGGGGAACTCAAAATGCCCATATCTCCCCCTACCTTGTCTTGACCAATCAGCACGAAGCCGGCACAACTCAAGGTGCCGCTACAAATCACAGCTGTTCGCGCCAAAACTCAGCTAGGAGTAGAGATGCCTAAACCAATCACAGGCCTCCCTCACCCTCAGGCGTCCTGTGACGTCACAAGGAGGGGGAGGCCTAAAGACAATGTCTGCCTGTCTCACATGTTGGGGGGGGGGGGGGGCAACGTTCACCCCACTGTCCCCACCACCTCTAACGGTTTTAGACAAGTATATTCCCACACCACTCACTTTCAACTCCCATCCTATTTCACAGAAACAGGAAAATTTCTGTAATTCTCTCTACAGAGCAATCACAGACTTCTGACTAGTCTTAAATGATAGTCCATAGCAAGAGCTTTCATCCAACACCCCACAAGTAGTTTGAAAACTTCTTGACTAAAGTCCCTAGAGCGACTAGCCTACTCTAGAAAACTAGGAAAACTAGCTGAGGGAATCTACATTCCCTCACAATATCAACCTACGGCACCGGAAATGGAAGAACCTGGCTAATAGTTATATCAGAAAGAATACCAGGGAGTAACCTAAATGAACAGGCACATATGCAAATGACCTGGTACGGATGTGCAACAGGTTTGCCTTAAACCAGCAAATAGTAGAACCAACTAGGAAGGAGAACACTTTGGACCTCATTTTCACTAATAATGACGAATTGATCAGGAACATAATGATTACAAATACCTGTTACTCAGATCACAACCTAATTGAAGTTCTGACAAGCATGGGGAGTAGACCTGCACAAAGAAGTTCCGAGCCCCAGTGGAGGAGAATTCAGCATATTCAATTTCAATAATTAACAGATAAACTGGGAGCAACTAAACCAGGACCTCACAGAAATAACCTGGGAAGGACAACTAGAAAAACAAACCTAAAATAGTGTATTGAAAAAATAAGCTCAGTCGTTCTAGAAATATGCTCATACCGCATACCCCTAAGAAAAAAAAAAGAGGAAGAAATGCAGACGGGAACGGCGTTCCCTCTATAGGCGAGGAAAACAAATCACGAAACAACTTGAAAGTCACAATCTGACTCAAGAACGGAGAAGGAGGCTAGGTAGAGGAATAGAAACGATTGAACTAAAGCTACAAGAATCATACAAAATCCAAGAGAGAGAGACAAAGAGAGCAAAAGGCCATCAGTGAAACAGAGAGAAATCCGAAATATTTATTCTCCTATGCAAAATCAAGATAAAAATATACATCTAATATCGGGCCCCTGCGAAAGGAAATGGAACTTTCCCAGATGACAACAAAGAAATGAGCGAAACACTGAGGAATCAATATGGCTCTGTCTTCAGCGAGCCACTAAACACACTGAAGATTGATAAACTAAATTAATTTTTCATGGATGTGATGCTAACATCAAGTCATCAGAAGTCATCCTATCCCCACTGGATTTTGAAGAAGCCATAAACAGTATGCCTATGCACTCTGCACCAGGCCCTGATTCTTGAAATTCTATATTCATCAAGAACTGTAAAAAGCCACTATCGCAGGCTTTTCAGATTTCTTTGGAGACAGAGCATAGATACTGTCGTTATCCCTGACATACTAAACACAGCAGAGATAGCACTAGTCCACAAAGGAGAAAATAAGAAAGAGGCAAATAATTACAGACCGATAGCACTAACATCACACATCATAAAAATCTTTTAAAGAGTGCTAAGAAGATCACAAAATACATGGAATCACAGCATCTCCATAACCCTGGGCAACATGGTTACAGAACAGGGCGCTCTCGCCTATCACAGTTGCTGTACCACTATGACATGGCCTTAGAAGACAAAGAAAACGCTGATGAAATTACACAGATTTCGCAATCTGTGTAAATGGTCACATTTGCCATCGACAAATGTGACTGTTATGGGGAGTATGAGGTGGTACTGGGCAGGGCCAATAGCTAGAATCAAGATGTATCAAAAGTAGTGGGATAGATAAGCCCGGCCCCCAAGGAAAATTGGTTCCTGTTAATGCTTCAAGGTTTTAGATTACAGGACTGTTGTCTAGTAGCTAATCACCTACACCACTTCAACAGGATTAATGGATATTAATAAATAAACTTATATATTAAACCCTCTAATAACCCCCCATATACATTAATACAATTAAACACTTTACCACTCTACCTTATGTTAACTACCTTGGTTCACATATACAGGATACAAGGCTTACACTTGGAAAATACTAGGGTAAAGTCTACTTGAAGAGAGGCACTCGAAAGGCTTGAAGCAACCTGGGGTAGCTATGCCCCCCACGTGGTCTCCTAGTCACAGTTGTGTACACTTAGGGATGCCAAAACACTGGCTTAAAAACTGCCTCTAACAAAACACAAGCCTAGCCAATAGCACAGTAAACACACGGAACAATAATACTAAGTAACTTAACTGTAGAATAAACCCAGAATAAGGTAAGGGAAGAGAGGAGGAGGAGGAGGAAACAGAGTCCCAAAGGGGAAGTCAGAACGCCACAGCTGCCAGACACAGAGAAGGGAGAGCATGGCCGCTCGAGCTCATTTAATAATGCTGCCAGGAAGTGATGCCTAGGTGATCGTACAACCACAAACAATATCAGTTTCCTTCACCGGCCTTCGTTACTAGTTACTTTTATAGTTCTAAGAATAGCTGATAACTAGTTCAATATTATATTTAATCAACAACAAGCTCAGAGTCTGAATGGTCTGTGAGAAACAAGATTCATTTTACGTTTGGCAAGGGCGACGGGAATAAAGCATACCCCCAGTTTAAGGAGCCATGATATAAATGTTATTGTTAATTAAATATCCTTCTCACATGATCCAATTCTATAAATTAATGTAGAGTAATTATTTAGAGCTCAATTTAGAGTTCCTTTGGTTTCCAACTAAGGAACCTAGGGTCGTAACAGTGACTATGGTGTTATTGCACACAAAATGCGTTCAAAAGGAATTACCGGAAAAATAGGCAGATGGATCTACAATTTCCTGACTAACAGAACCCAATGTGTAATAGTCAACAAAATAAAATCCGATCCATCAACCGTGAAAAGTTGTCCCTCAGGGTACTGTGTTTGCTCCAGTACGTTTTCTCATCCTCATATCGGACATAGACAAGGACACAATCTATAGTACTGTATATTCCTTCGCAGTCGACACTAGGATTTTTATGAGAGTAGAGAACATAGAGGACACAGCAAACCTCCAATCAGATGTAAATCAGGTCATTCTATGGGCTGCATAAAATAATATCGTTTTTAACGAAGATAAGTTCCAGCTCATGCGCTGCGGAAGAAATGAAAATGTAAAAGTGGAAAACACGTACAAAACGCAGTCAAATCATAACAGAACGAAAAGGCAATGTAAAGGACTTGAGTGTACTCATGTTGGAAGACCTTACCTTTCAAGAACACAATAAAGTAGCCGTCACAACTGCAAGAAAATGACAGGTTGGATAACTAGAACCTTTCACACTAGAGATGCTATACCGATTAGGATACTTTTCAAAATGCTAGTACTCTCTAGAGTGGAATACTGTTGCACAATGACAGCCCATTTCAAAGATGGATAAATTGCCGACTGGAGAGCGTATAGAGATCCTTTACTGCTAGAATTCACCCAGTAAAACATTTAAACTATTGGGACCGACTAAAATGCTTACATCTGTATTCTCTTGAGCGCAGGCGGAAGAGATACATAATAATTTCCACATGGAAAATAGTAGAGGGGCTGGTCCCAAACATGCACACAGAAATAACACCACATCAGACTAGAAGGTATGGCAGGATGTGCAGAATACCCCCGTTGATGCAATAGGTACTCAGAGAGAACTCTATCAACATCAGAGGCCCGAGACTGTTCAACACACTTCCACTACACATAAGGGGGCATAACTGGCCGACCCCTCATGTGTTCAAAAGAGAACTTCATAAACACTTCCAAAGAATACCTGATCAACCAGGCTATGATCCATACGAAAGTCTGCGAGCCGCCTCGTCCAACAGACTGGTTGACTAGTCCAGTAACCAGGAGGCCTGGTCGACGACCGGCCACAGGGACACTAAGCCCTGAAACCACCACAAGGTAACCTTACGGGCTATTCATGCCCATGCCACCTTTTGGGTGGCATACTCTTCATCAATCAATCAGTCATCAAGGTAACCTCAAGGTTATCTTGAGATGATTTCGGGGCTTTAGTGTCCCCGCGGCCCGGTCCTCGACCAGGCCTCCACCCCCAGGAAGCAGCCAGTGCCAGCTGACAAACGCCCAGGTACCTATTTTACTGCTAGGTAACAGGGGCATAGGGTGAAAGAAACTCTGCCCATTGTTTCTCGCCGGCGCCCGGGATCGAACCCGGGACCAGAGGATCACAAGTCCAGCGTGCAGTCGGCTCGGCCGACCGGCTCCCTCAAAAGTTACCTTCGACGAGGATGGGATACAAACCCACGCAGGGAAAACCCAGTATTGATCAGAGAACAACCAGTATTGATCAGAGAACAACCAGTATTGATCACAGAACAACCAGTATTGATCACAGAACAACCAATATTGATCACAGAACAACCAGTATTGATCACAGAACAACCAGTATTGATCACAGAACAACAAGTATTGATCACAGAACCAGTAGCGATCAGAGAACAACCAATTATGATCACAGAACAACCAGTATTGATCACAGAACTAGTATTGATCACAGAACTAGTATTGTTCACAGATCTAGTATTGATTACAGAACCAGTACTGATCACAGAACCAGTATTGATCACAGAACAGCCAGTATTAATCACAGAACAACCAGTGTTGTTCACAGAACCAGTATTGATCACAGAACAACCAGTGTTGTTCACAGAACAACCAGTATTGATCATAGGACAACCAGTATTGATCACAGAACAACCAGTATTGACCACAGAACAACAAGTATTGATCACAGAACCAGTAGCGATCACACAACAACCAGTATTGATCACATAACAACCAGTATTGATCACAGAAAAACCAGTATTGACCACAGAACAACCAGTATTGATCACAGAACAACAAGTATTGATCACAGAACAACAAGTATTGATAACAGAACCAGTAGCGATCACAGAACAAGCAGTATTGATCACAGAACAGCCAGTATTGATCACAGAGCAACCAGTGTTGTTCATAGAACCAGTATTGACCACAGAACAACCAGTATTGATCACAGAACAACCGGTAATTGATCACAGAACCAGTATTGATCACAGAACAGCCAGTATTGATCACAGAACATCCAGTATTGATTACAGAACCAGTATTGATCACAGAACCAGTATTGATCACAGAACCAGTATTGACCACAGAACAACCAGTATTGATCACAGAACAACCAGTATTGATCACAGAACAACCAGTATTGATCACATAACCAGTACTGATCACAGAACAAGCAGTATTGATCACAAAGCAACCAGTTTTGACCACAGAACAACCAGTATTGATCATAGAACCAGTATTGATCACAGAACAACCAGTATTGATCACAGAACCAGTATTGATCACAGAACAACCAGTATTGTGGGAAAACTTGACTCATGTAATTCATTTAAATTGATCCTAATTCGATACCTACGAAGGACCACCACTTTTTAAAGGAAAAGTGGAAACTGGGTAGAGCAAGTGGTTTACTATTAAATCCATGAACTAGTGTCCTATGGATATTATTGATAATTATTATCTTGAATATATATATTGACTGTAATTTATGAATCAAATCTTCTCACCCAAAATGGGGGGTTAAATGTGAAAAGACTATTGCATCCCTGACATCATTCCAGTGTGGTTCGATCACTGAAGTAAATGAGATAATTAATTGCAAAATTGTGCAAAGATAATCAGAGGTGAATGGGCCTCAAGATACTACAATCGACTAGTATTACTACCAATGGTTAGTACCATCAATATACTGAGTAAGGGTTAGACAAGATATTTATTCTCATTTGAAGTTCATGAGGCTATCAAATTGTACTTGATTTCCTAAATCATGTAAATGAAATATTTTTAAAGAATTATTAGTTATCAACCGTTACTTAGTGAAATAAAACTAAATTGAACTTGTTCAGCTGCTTAGCTGTGACAGTGAACGGAGATGCAGAGTCGTGATGGCGTTGTCTGGTGCTTGCTGGATCACGTGAGCCAAGAGCGTGGCGTGGGAAAATGATGAGACCACGGCCGCTCCAACGCACACTGAAATTCCAATTAAAAGTACAAATTGCCTACACCAAGTAGATTGTGTCATCACTATTCAATAGAAGGGACAGAGCAAATTCCTTACAGACGTACTTGTAGTTTGGGGAGGTCTTGTGGTGTAACGATGGACAAAGTGTATTATAAAATTAAAAGAGCTCGATTAATAATATGAGAACACTTAACCTGCTGGTTGTCCACCGATGCAATCCTTAGATTGCTACTGGAGCAGTTGCACACTCCTAGGCCGATTAATTGTAAGGGACTATCGTAGAATTGTTGGAAATTCGCTTCTCTCTGGACGCTCGTGTCGTACTTCTGATGGCGTCGCTTTGTGGGGTCCGACCTGTGAGATTTATATTTATTTAATTTATATGAATTTATATTTACGTTAATTTATATACTTCGATAGCAATTTGTATAATGATAAGTGGACTGTATTTCTGCAATAATCTCATAATCTCACAAATCGATCCTCTACACATTAGGGGGGGTTATTAAATTAATATATATGCAGCCAATCAAACTACAGTAACTACATACATTGAAGAGGTTCCTTATCTTATAGTACAGCAGGTTAGTCCACCAGGTATAACTAGGGTGTAGACACCAAATTATCCTCTTTGAGGTAGCTTCCATATCACCCAGTAACTGGTGCACAAATCTTGCTTCCTCGTCTTGACCTGTCAAAAGTGCGCTAGCTGTGAAGCCAGAATCCTATATATGACAAGTATTTCAGAGAAAACTGTACATGGAACATGAAGACCTGGCTTAATTACCTTTAGTTTGAGGCTTCCACGTGCTCTAACCGGTTCACCCTATATAATGACATTAATGGCCATAAATGAAAGATACATGGGTTTCGGAAAGAACACTTAACTTGAATTGTAGACATCGTGTTGGAGATGGTACCTTTGGTTTCCATAATACTACGTCCAAGTAAAATTAACAGGAGCCGAATTTGCTCCCGTGTGAGCCTCTGGTCTCAATATAAACAATGGCTGTTTAACACTCCATACTATTGACGTTACTGGCCGACATTGTCCAGATATGATAGGAGCTAAATTTGCTCCACACGTCTCGGAGGTGACACAACAATGGCTGCCCTTCTTCCTCCCTGACGCCTGGCCTACTTTGTCCAGATTTCAGAAAGTGATAGAAGGGTCACATTTACTCTACTTTAATATTGATAATTAAGTTAATTTATATAAGATGTTTTTATGATGGTAAAGTCCAAAGACTAATGTATTTAAGAATAATTCCCAGCAGAATAGCTGGTGAATTATAATAGTATGTGGTGATGATATCCCGTTTTCTTTAGACGGTAATTCCACTACAAGTTACGTTTTCTATGGGTAACTTGTTTATACAACACAGCTCTTATCTGTCTGTATGATATTATATGGTGTCGGATTTTCCGACATAATTCCCCAGGGGGCTGCTCACGGGTCGAAGTCCTATTTAGAACAGACGAACACCGATACTCCTCCTTCGAATTATTAGATTAATTTGATGTTAGTAGTTAGTAATCACACATTTGTGTGTCTGTTCGTACAGGACGGATGTCCCGTACTAGAGTTGTAGGGGTTAGAAGTCTAATGCGATTTCATTTCCCTGTCAACTCTTGAAAGGCTAATATTCAAGCCTTATTACATATTATTTAACCCAGAAGACTGGATGTGATCAAGTACTACAGTCAAGTATGATTCAGGGACTGCAGTGAGATCAGTGACATTGGATATAACTTGAAGTTTCTTCAGGTAACTGGTCACTGATATATAAACACTGAGGCCCATGGAATACATCTTGATTAAATAATAAATGTATCAAATCAGTCATCAGATTTATTGGGGTTTAATTTAGTTAATTGATTCAGAAGATTGAATAGCTCATCATTAAAGTAAAGTATGGTTCTGAGACTGCAGTGGGTTCAGTGACATTGGTCGCAGTGACTTGTAGCTGTTTAAGGCTACTGTTCACTGATTTGCCACTGAGGCCTCATGAACTCATCTCCAGCTTTAAATGATGATACTAACATCAACCTCTGTTGGTATAGTCAGCTGTAATCTCCTTAGTATAATGCTACTGGAGAAATATAATCAGCTGACAAATTTAGATTTCTACTGGTATTGTTTATCTGCAGGCATAGGTCTCCTCAGGCTTGATACTGGGCCTGAGAGTAATTTACCTCCTGCAGAGTTTAACATGGTTATACCCTGATATTTAGTAGGGCTACCAATGAATTGATGGTAGTAGTCTGTCCCCACAAGGACAGCCATTTGGCATTTGATTTGCTCAAATTTACCTGCAGCTGCTTGATAATAGCTTTCCAGGTCAGCATAATCAACTTGAGATTGTTGTGACAAATCTTCACATTTCTTGATCTGTCTTGTTAAGTGGCCTTTAAGACCTGCAAGGGTTCTTTTCATTCTCCCTGCATTATCCATACTGGCTCGTTGGTGAAGCCTTGTGGGGCTTGTACTTGGGCTGCTCATAATACTGAACAAGCACTAATGGTAGCCTAGGGTAAATTCTGCACTCACTAGGCAATAATCCTACCTCTACTAGAGGTTAGCACTTAAAATTAATACACATTATATATATACAATCATACACACTAATGATTTGAGTGATAAACCAGTGTCACTGGAAGTACCTTTAGGTTAGCTCTTCTATATCACCCTAGGATGGTAGAGACACTAATTAATCACTCAAAGGTGTAATGATCATAAGTAAATTATTATATATACAACTCAACTCGAGTTGATAAAAATTACACCCAAAATAGGGTCTGGACCATTCATTAATGGTGTTAGGTTATTCAATATAGTACAACTGACTATGGTAATAATGGGACTAGGATGAACGATAATAGTTCAACTAGTCAATGGTTAATATCCTACCCTGTTGTGGGTTGGCAATTAGTAAATATTATACTGTGATCACTAGTGCAATATATATTAAATAATTCTCTATTTTGGAGAAATAATATACACAATTATTGATAATAGCCTCTTAATTAGCCTCTATGAAACTTCTAATATTATCAAGAAGTATTAAATATTATTAGTGACCTCGCGAAATAAACTCCACAAAATTCGTAGATAATCTCTCGCGAAATGTAACACCACGAAATCCGTGAACAATCTCGCGACACAGTCACTAATTTGGCTGGCTTCTATATTAGCGCTGTCATTTCACGAAATAACACGCCACCAAATATCTGTGGGTGTGCATGAAACCGCTGACGAAGCTGAACTGGGCTGAGGGAGGCTCCTGAGCTCCCACGAGGCTTCGCCGCTGTCTTTGACTGGCTGGCCTTTGTTTAAATAACACTGCACTAGTATATTTAATGAATCCACTGGTTAACTGGTTCATCCGGTACTAAGATGACCAAATGTGGGTTCAAAGGATCAAATAATCCGTCATCCGGTTCGAAGATGACCAAATAATGTGGGAACCGACCTGTGAGATTTATATTTATTTAATTTATATGAATTTATATTTACGTTAATTTATATACTTCGATAGCAATTTGTATAATGATAAGTGGACTGTATTTCTGCAATAATCTCATAATCTCACAAATCGATCCTCTACACATTAGGGGGGGTTATTAAATTAATATATATGCAGCCAATCAAACTACAGTAACTACATACATTGAAGAGGTTCCTTATCTTATAGTACAGCAGGTTAGTCCACCAGGTATAACTAGGGTGTAGACACCAAATTATCCTCTTTGAGGTAGCTTCCATATCACCCAGTAACTGGTGCACAAATCTTGCTTCCTCGTCTTGACCTGTCAAAAGTGCGCTAGCTGTGAAGCCAGAATCCTATATATGACAAGTATTTCAGAGAAAACTGTACATGGAACATGAAGACCTGGCTTAATTACCTTTAGTTTGAGGCTTCCACGTGCTCTAACCGGGTCACCCTATATAATGACATTAATGGCCATAAATGAAAGATACATGGGTTTCGGAAAGAACACTTAACTTGAATTGTAGACATCGTGTTGGAGATGGTACCTTTGGTTTCCATAACACTACGTCCAAGTAAAATTAACAGGAGCCGAATTTGCTCCCGTGTGAGCCTCTGGTCTCAATATAAACAATGGCTGTTTAACACTCCATACTATTGACGTTACTGGCCGACATTGTCCAGATATGATAGGAGCTAAATTTGCTCCACACGTCTCGGAGGTGACACAACAATGGCTGCCCTCCTTCCTCCCTGACGCCTGGCCTACTTTGTCCAGATTTCAGAAAGTGATAGAAGGGTCACATTTACTCTACTTTAATATTGATAATTAAGTTAATTTATATAAGATGTTTTTATGATGGTAAAGTCCAAAGACTAATGTATTTAAGAATAATTCCCAGCAGAATAGCTGGTGAATTATAATAGTATGTGGTGATGATATCCCGTTTTCTTTAGACGGTAATTCCACTACAAGTTACGTTTTCTATGGGTAACTTGTTTATACAACACAGCTCTTATCTGTCTGTATGATATTATTATGGTGTCGGATTTTCCGACAAAGTTAAGAACTCGTGGTTATTGAATCACTAGTCGTAATATTATCAGAGATTAACTCTTATAAAGAATACTGATAAAAGTTGAGAATATTATTCAATTCTCTAACATGTTGGTAATAATTATGTCCTGCTGGACATTATCTGACGCAATATACCTCTCAATGTGGTGAGAATTTCAGCAAATGACGCGTAGATAGAGAAATATTAATTTATATTAGTAATACAGTTAGTAGGGTTAATAAATACTGTAGTTAATACAATAATGATGTATTGTAATACAAGAAATTATATATTAGTGTTGGAAACTTTCCAACAAGTATTGATCACAGAACAACCAGTATTGACCACAGATCCAGCATTGATCACAGAACCAGTATTGATCACAGAACCAGTATTGATCACAGAATAACCAGTATTGATCACAGAACAACCAGTATTGATCACATAACCAGTATTGACCACAGAACAACCAGTATTGACCACAGAACAACCAGTATTGATCACAGAACAACCAGTATTGATCACAGAACCAGTATTGACCACAGAACAAGCAGTATTGATCACAGAACAGCCAGTATTGATCACACAACAACCAGTATTGATCACAAAGCAACCAGTATTGATCA